ACTATTGTTTGCCTTGGTGTCACCCCCTAAATGGTGTCACCAGGTGCGGTCCGCACCCCCCCCCCCCCCGCCCTCGCTACGGCCTTTGATCTGTGTGTACTCAAGGATTTGTGGGATGTTTTTTCCTCAAAATTAACATTTTACTATCTCGTTTTATGATTTAATACAATTATTATCTAATATAATAGTTTCCACCATGTGCAAAGTAATTTTTTATTTAAATGTACTGAGTAATCAATTGAAACATTATTTTTAAAATGTTTTTTTTTTTTTTAATTTTTAAAAAATTTAAATTACACATTCCATGCCTGAGCGAGAGCTGTAAATGTCGCATCTGTGTTGTAGACCAACAAGGAACTTAGACTTGTGTTCCTGGTGGAGAAGTCCATAAGCTGACATTGTTTGGTAGAGGAGATCCAGTTAAAACCCATACAGATCTGGTCTTGTCTTGGCTGCAGACATTCAGCTGCACATTCAATAGAGCTGCGTTTTCTTGTGTTAAAAATTGGAGACAGTTGGAGAAGTGTGTTCTTGGTCTTCACAAAAAATCCGTCGATTGGGTCAAATAAGTATCCCATGACTTTAATTTCACAGATGATAATTAAACCATATTCATATCTAAAAAGTATAGTTAATATCCATTTATTATTTTAACATACGTTACATAAACAATAAAAGATAGATCTGAATGCTGGAGAATTTGACAAATAATTTAATGAGTTCTATAAAATTAGCTTGTTAGATATTATTTATCTCAGTATTTAGTTACAAATAAACAAACAAATGTTACTTTCTAACCTGGTTACACGGACGTATCTGCCGATGATAGGAGTAGAACAGTTCCAGGTGTATGTGGTAGATCCAACTGTACCTTCAAACTTAAAGCAGAGTTCCCCGGGCTCGTTAGGAAAAGTTGCTTTCAGTCTGGGATCTGTTCTAAACACGTCAATACCGATGTTGCTGGTGAAACCATCATTTCTGTCACTGTAATTATAAAGAACATTAAATAAAGCCCGAATATTTTTAGGGTCGAATGTTTAAGAAAAAAAGTCATGAGTTCGAATCCAGGTTTAAGTCCGTAGAACGTCTATGAGTCCACCCCGCTCTAGTAGATACGTTACTTATGTTAGTTAACTTATTGTCGGCGGGCATAGTGCTGACCACACTATACCTTCATATATTGAGGTCACATAAACATGTAAACTCTACTCCACTTACCCCATCTGTCGTCAGCATGTCTAATATATATATATCGAATCACCAATATAATATAACCATAAAAAATAATAAAAAATTTACATAAATATAGAATTAAAATAATTTTAACATATTACATTTTTTCTTATTTGTCTATAAATATACATACATTCATTGTTGGGACATATATATTTTAGAAAACAACGATACAAACAAATATAATTATTACAAATGTATCTCACTTGTATGTGAATATTATTTGTTTCACCACATAAAGCCCCTGAAGGTCCACCATCCACCAAGAATGATTGGAATGCATTGTATGCGAGCAACTGAAATGGTCAACATTCATATCACTGTTTCCGTCGTTGGCAAAGCTGGCAGCGAGGTCGACGACGTAGTAGTAGTTAGAATTCTGGTAGGACGGTTTGTGTACGGACACATCTGTTAATGTTTTTGCTTCACCAAATGTTTCGTAAATTATCATAAGGAAAATAAATATATATGTAGCAGCTTTCATTTTTATCCAATTTTATATTTGTAAATTGTCTTATTTTCCTAAAACTTTATATTTTCAGCATATTTATTATGTTAACATAAACTTTCCTTTTATGTAAGAACTAAAAAAGAAAAATACTATTTACCAATAGAACATTATTTCGCAATATAATAAAGAAAAGTATTTCAAAAGTAATATAGTTATGATACATCATTTAAAGGCTTTTACTTTAGATACAGATGTTTATTTTTTATTGTAAAATGTTTATTATGTTATGTAACTTGTTTTATTTTGACCCTATAAGCATACAATGCGAAAGGAATAACATCAAACTTGGTTTTTATAAGAACGTATGTTTATCACTCATCTTTTTTTTTTACATTGAACAAGTTCTGTAAGATGTTGATTAAGATTTTAATTAATACTTGCATAACGTAACAATTTCTTATATTAGAGCTCATATTATTCAAAATTAAAGCAATGGATATTGTTAATTGACTACAATGGCATGGTAAAATAAAGTATATTTCCTTTAAGATTATTCCTAATAAACACACATATAATGTTAACACACACAGAGCTCTCCTGAACAACACACCAGTCTACAAGTCACTGCCCTCAACTAAAAAAGAGCTCTAAACAACACTACGTACATGATGCTTTATTATGCCGTCGTCACGACAACGCTGATGGCTATCAGTTTGCTGCTCTTGAACTGTATTGACGTGTCGTTATAAAATAAAGAAGAGCTGTTCTTTGAAACATTGTTTGGTCGTGTAATGAGAAAGTTCCAGAAGTTTTACGCCGTTTCTAAACTTTGGCTCGAAAAACTACCACGGAGCTGACAAAGATTGCCTGACTAAAATTAAAATCCAGGTATAAATTTTGGCCTGACGTCAATATAACTACATTTAATTTAACTAAAAAAAGACATATTTCCATATTTCTGCATTCGCAAATAATATAAAATTTTGGAATTTTTTTTTTTTTGACAACTCACATTTTTCATCGATGGCAACAATAATGATTAGAGGCATCTAGTCAAAGTCAACGGGGTTCACAGTGCCCCCTCTTCTAAAAAAGTTACCTGCAGTATGCTATAAAACGAGTGACACAAATATATACTTATACCTATTCTTGCTGATCATCAATAATTTCTGCATGCTTTCTTGATTTTAAATGGCAAAATATCCATTTGCAAAACAATATGTAAAGAGAAACTTGATGAAGCCAAGCATTTAAAAACAAAAGTCAACTCAGCACTAGACACTAGCAATGATAACAATCAAACAATAAATTATTACACTGTAGTTAAAGGTGGAGAAATAAACATTGAACAGCGGCCTTGAATAACCTTTGCGATCGAACTCGGATATAAATCTATACATTTTTTTTTTCATTTTAGATTCTTGACAATAATAAACTTGCCATTTTTTCGTTGTTAAATTTTCTTGTTTCATATATCTCAATATAACTCCACAATTGTCCCATTAAAAACAAAATATATAATCTATAATTCTAAATAACTGTAGTCCAAATTCCATTCCTCGCCCTTCATCCATTATCTAAGAGTCATTTTTTTACAACCTCTACATCACAGTGTGTATCAGACAATTATGTCGATTCCCCTTATATATTAGCTAACATTAAGTTAACATGCACACAAGGTAATGGGATTGGGGTGGGTGAGGGGAGAGAGAGCTTAGTAAAAAACCGACAAAAAAACCCTCATCTATTTAGGCCTGCTGGTTCTTTTAAATGTGTGAGTTTTCACCACTAAATAACTAAGGTCCAAATCCCATCCCTCATCCTTCACCCAATATTTATGAGTCATTATTTTACAACCTCTACCTTACAGAGTGTATCAGATGTGTTCATTCCCCTTATTAAATTTGTTGACTTTAAGTTAACATGCACATAAGGTAATGGGGTTGGGGTGGGTGGGGGAAGAGACAGCGTGGTAAAAAAATCAACAACAAAATCCCTTCATCCGTTCAGGCCTGCTTGTTCTTTTAATAAAAAACCTCATTGTGTACGTTTTCACGACTGTATAGTAATCTACATATATTTATTGGTGAGTTGTCTAAATAAATGTATGAACATTTGGAAAAAAAAATCTACCAAAGCTTAAGACAAATGATGAGAATATTGATAAAAACATAACGTTTTAGATTAATGAGTAGTGTTGTTTTCAAACGTGATGGTGCAGGAAGCAATTGAAATGGAGTTTTGTGACCCCCACATATGAAGTGATTGTGTGGCTAGAACCCAGTCGCTTTAACATTCGTAACGTGAGAAAGGTTCCCAACATATATTATGCCCAAATATATTGTAATGTTTACTGGTATTACCCTTCTTCGACAATAAACACTTCAGAAAATAGGTGTGTTGGGTTTTTGGTATTTTTGCAATCTCATGTTGTAATCTCATCAAATACATATGCTCAAAACCACAAATTTCTTTTTTTATGTAGTGAAAGAACGGAAGGAAATTATATCTAGTTGCGTCCCTTTAATAAATACGATAGAGTGGTAAATCGCTTACATTTTTAAACCCTTATGTGACATTAAGAGAATCTGGAACTTTCCAGTTACCTACGGCACCAGTGCTATCTCCTTACCAAATACCTACAACTTGTCGCATCTGCAAGTGGTCGATCTAACACGAGCAGTTTAGAAATGTAGTTGTTTTAAAAGGCCGCGGTCAGTCTTTGTTAGTTTTCGGTCACTTTAAACTCGATTGCTGAGATGATTCAAATATTTTCACGTTAAAAAAATAGTGAACAGCAAACTTTGTCAAACTATTCCCCAGCAATTAACCAGCAAAAAACAACCTAACAAATATCCGCACTTATCTATATATTTATCTCTATATATGTATGTATATATATATATATATATATATATATATATATATATATATATATATAATATAAGTTTTCTCGTCAGTCTTTGCTTAATAGAGATATAGTGATCAAATGAAAAGAAAACCGTTCAAGATAAACTTATCGGATTTTTAATTTATATTTCTAGGCAACGGATTGAGATACTAGTTCTGATTTAAAACAAGGTCACGTATTTAAACACACTTGTTAAATTCTTAAAACAGTGGTTTGCTTCTTTTAATTGATAATGAAAATCGTTGAAGGATGCAATCTGATAACACCATTTTACATATTAATCAAACACAGTTTGTATGTTATTTAGTTTAATCGAGCGTTTGTTGCACATTTTAAAATCATGATTTATTGATTTTAACTATTAACAAGAGTAAATGTGAATTTAATGAAAAAAAAAGATTCATTGATTTTAACTTTTAGAGAAAGAAAATGTGAATTTAATGAAACAAAAATGATTTATTGATGTTAACTCTTAAACTAAGTAAATGTGAATTTGATTAAAAAAAGGTATTTATTAATTTTAACTATTAGGCAAAGTAAATGTAAATTTGATGGACAAAATATTTCTTTTTATGATACAAATATTATGAAAGTACACTTCACAGTTTTACAAATCCTTGTCCTTATCAGATCAACTTCAGAAGTTAAAAACTAACGCTAGTTGTTTAAATTTACTTTTCACTGTACGGGGGTGGGGGTATTGTCGGTAACCCTGCATGACACATGCTTTGTGATTCACTATAAGTGGGCGGTCCTATAGGTTTTGTCACCTTCTGTAACGATTCATCCACCTGATTTACAAATGAAAACTGCGTGTTGATAATGACGGTGGGGTCTGGTTGTGATAACGTTGTAGGCGGATAGACGCCGTCGAACACCATTTTGCTGGCAGATTTAGAGAGGATGGGCCCAACAGTGAACATCAGGATGGCGCCGACGATGCTCATAGGAAACGAGTAGCCGAAGCTGGAGTAGATGTATTGCATGTTTCCAAAGTTGTCTTCAGAGTAGACGTTGACTTCGTATATCATATCGCCAATAAACACTACAAGACCTGAATTGAAAAAAAAACAAGTATTTAAATTATCCAAACACATAGAAACACATAAACACAAGCGCAAATTTACACATATACATGTACACGACATATGCAAGTATATAAACATATAAACTATAACACTGACTATGATATTCTTCCCCCCATTTCAAGCAGCAAATTTTAATATAAATGGCAAATTACAAGCTGATTTTAAATCAAGTATTGCTTATGTGCATTTGCTAGCAGCCTGTTTTTTTCACATTTATTTTTACATTTTTAACAGGTTTTTTTCTCTAGATGCTTTAGATGTATAAGAAGGTTGTTTTGTATTGCAACTAGCCTTTGGTAAAACACCACTACAAACGGAACTTTAATTTCATTTTAAGAAATATCACATGAATCACCATGCTTGCTTAGGTTTTATTTAGTCGTGAAAAGGATACTAATAGTATTAGTATTGGACTCTTAGCTTGAAAAATATAAATTTGAACGGCTGATATTTTTTTATAATAATAAACGTAGTTATTGATGGAAACAATAGACCGATTAATTGATACAAATGAATTTATTTTATAAATTCGTTATTTGAAAATAAATTAAAACAAGACAATCCGAGACGTGTTTATAATATTGTTTATTTCAGTACTCTCATGCTATAGAGAAAAAAAACTAACCGCAATTATTACCCTAGGTGCCTAACGTGAAAACAAATTGAAAGTTAAAAGTTTGCTAGAACATTTAAAAACAAAAGCCGGTTACCTGCCAGGGTTGAAAATACCATGCTACAGTTTGCCAACAGAGCTGTGTTTGGAGAGGTCTTGATGTATCTCAGCATGAAGAATAATGCCAGCAACAGGCCAACAGCACCCATACCGATACCAAATATCGACATGTACTTGACGGTGTTCTCCAAGTCTGAGACGGTATCTGAGTTCCAGGAAGAAATTATTTAGTAGCATTAGAACGAGTCAAATGAAAAAAAAAATCAAAACGGTTATATACAAAACTGCGTTTGCAGTGTGCAATTATATTTTACGCTCACACTCCTCGATTTACTTTTTTCAACAAATGTCATCGTCAACATTAAAGCTCTCCCCAGTTTCCTGCCACAGATCTAAACTTTATTGAGTTCTATTATATTATCTCCTCTCGCCTTCTGTACCACATTACGTCCAGTGTTTCTTCCAGACCTTTTCCTCCGGGGGTGCACTTGAAATTTTCGGGGGGGGGGGGGGGGTGCACAACAATTTCCGGGGGGGGGGGGGGGCGGACACTGTCAAAGGTATATATTTTATATATAAATTCCATATCGTTCGAGGGGGGCGGCAGACTTTCTTCGGGGTGGGGGGGGGGGGGGGGCGGTGCACCCCTCCCAAGAGATGCCTGGAAGAAACTCTGATTACGTCGATAACCCACATGTGTTTTCATCCTTTATCCCTTGTTAGGGTCGTTGGGACACCACAGAGTGGTGTCATGGGCTATATGTCTCATGGCGGCACCCACCCCTTTCTATACCTGACCACATGGATGCCTCCATCTAGGTGGCTAACCTTGGTCACGAACACATAGAAGTTCAATTTCATCTAACAGCTCTTGCGCCCTAGCTGGTGACCCTTTACTGGAAGGTCATACACCCAATAATATCGTGTTAGCATAATATTTTGATATTTTAGAGTTTTTCCTCCTAGATGAGTTGCTGTATCCAGGTATAGAGCCTCATCTGCCCGGGGATTTAAACTCGGGAATGTTCGTTTTAGCAACCATGAACTACACAGAACCGACCACGCCGAGCCACATTAGATGACGGGCATGCGTGAGTCCCAGCCCATCAGTTAGATGGGGTCCGAAACGTCTTTCAGCATTATTTGAAAACGACATTGGACATACATAAACCAACATCTACTATTATTAAATAAATAGAGTACACTAAATATGAATTACCGGAAGACTAACTTACCAATAGGCACACAGGACCCATCCATGTTACATATGCTGAATAGGCCTCTGTTGTTGCCAGATAGTGTGAACATGATCCATGATGGTGTCACCGTTCCTATGACTACCAAAGCAAATGCGATTGTGTACCCAAACACACCAGCAACGAATCCACCATTTACTTTCACAGTAATTGCCATTACCTACAGTAAATAAATGAATATATATATATATATATATATATAAATATATATATATATATATATATATATATATATATATATATATATATATATATATATATATATATATATAATTACAATTCTTATTGCTCTACTGGCAAAGAACCTGAGCAAAAACCAAAAACTAATTTATAACACATCAGTGTTTCTTCCAGGCACCTATTCGGGGGGGGGGGGGGGGAAGGGGGGGAAAGGGGGTTGGGGATGGAGGGGCTGAGTTCCCCCCCCCCCCCCCCCCCCCTCCCCCGATAAAGGTCTACCGCCCCCCCCCCCCCCCCACCCCACGAACGAAATTGAATTCGAATTGCTTTTAACAGTGTCCGAAAGACCCCCCCCCCCCTCGGAAAGTTGAGTCCGCCCCCGAAAATAGTCTGGAAGAAACAGTACAAACAACCCAAGCTTAATTACCATTTTACAATTATTCTGAATCCAACTATACTTCTTACAATTTGTCTTATTTAAGTGTGATCTAAATTAAGTCACAGTAACCCTTAGGGTTTTCAGACAGACCCTTAACAATGGACGTCTCAAACAAATCTTATTTAATGTGTTGTAAATACACTTACCTAATCTCTAAACAAAGATACTAAACTGCATTTGATAGGTCAAGACTGACTATGTCTTTTAGTTAAAAAAAATAATTATTAAAAAATACTAAAATTTGTTTTTAAAAATCTTCTAACCTTTAGAATGAAAATACATGATTGTTTCTAATATTAGCCTAAATACGAGTTTACTAATACAAAATAGACAAAACAACTTACTTGTTCAACTTGTTTACTGCTATTGTGTGTTGACTAATAAAGAATGACGCAAAGTTTTGAGATAATACAAGGACAACACAGGGACGTGTGTTGTAGTCCGTGGTCGCTGATAAGATAGTGCTTAAGTGCTTTTACAGGACTAAAATTACTCGGCTTATAATAAACATTTGCTTCTTATCTATAAAAAAAATGTACATTCAAAATGTAACGGTTCTAACACTTCCTTAACTAGAATACTTCGTTTTTATAGATGCAGTTCATCCCCCACATAAACTACAAAACGTAATTTTGATTATTTCAATTATCCCGTCGGTTAGTTTCACCTTAGCTTTCACTTAAGATTCGTACATAAAACTTCTGATTGAAACTTGTGGGACGATTTGGGGAGAGCCTGCATGGGAACCGAACTCGAGACTTCCGTGTGTTGACAACCACGCTACTTACTGTTTTAAATCAATATAGCTTGGGTGGACTCAGGAACGTACTACAGGTCTAATTCCGAACCGAGATCCAAACTCCATACGTGGGGCAGGAGTCGAGCGCTCTATCACTCGACCGCTTCGTTGCTTTTTTTAAAAATTGGGCCTAAAATGCAGTGGCGTAGCGAGGTCGGGTGTTACCCGGTGCGGCACTTAATGGTGTCACCCCCCCCCCCCCAGAGGGACAAACTTTCTCGATTTGCACCACCCCCCTTAAACTTTCGATTTGCAACACCACCCCCCCCCCCCTCAAACTTTCGATTTACAACCCCCCTCAAACTTTTGATTTGCACCCCCCCCCCCCTCAAACTTTTGATTTGCACACACCCCCCCTCATACTTTCGATTTGCAACCCCCCTCAAACTTTCGATTTGCACCCCCAACCCCCCTCAAAGTTTCGATTTGCACACCCCCCAACCCTCAAACTTTCGATTTGCACCTCTTAAAAGACTATTTTACAATCGAATTAATCACTGAATTAAGTGGAATTATCATTTTTCTCTATATATGTTGCTATTTTAGGCCTTGGTGTCATCCCCCTCCCCCTAAATGGTGTCACCGGTGCGGTCCGCACCCCCGCCCCCCCCCCCCTCGCTACGTCTCTGCTAAAATGTAATTTCGAACCCTTTTTATAAGGGGATTTCTTTCAAATTATAAAGATAAGTACATATAATTAGGTATTACTTTATTTTAATCGTGCACAAATAATTTAAATATTTAAAGAGATTATTAACTCGTAGCAAACAGTCTAACATCACACAAATGCTGTTGTCAGAAATACAGCCACACATGAGATTAAATTTACTTTAATTACTAGGTTTTCATCAAATAATAGAAAAAATGACGAGTCTACGAGTGAATTCAGATGTTTTTTTTTCTATGTAAGTGTAAACTTAGGAGCCTTCTAACAATGAAAATAGTTTTAAAGAATGATTATTAAAAGGCATTACCCCCCCTGTCAATTACACCCCGGCCCTTCCCCCCTCCCCCTCTCCGACATAACCACACAGAGTAATTACCTTCTATCAATTACCCCTGTCAATTTGCCCACTGCCAATTGCCCCCCGCCCAGTAGGACATTGCCCGCCCCCCTCAGTCATAGCTGAAGGTATAGTTATATAGTTAGAGTTGGGGTTAGGGTTAGGGTTTGGGTTAAGATTTAGTTTTAGGCTGAGGTGAAAGCATCGATGTAGGCTTAAGTTTAGGATTAAGGTAATGTGTAGATCTAGAGATTAAAAGAGGATTCCTGAGCTTTGGGAAGGGGGAGGGGTTAATTTTCAGGGAGGGGGGTAATGGACAGTGGGTAATTGACAGGGTGTTATTGCTCGAGGGGTAATGTCGGGGGGATGTCCAGGGGTAGTTAACGGGGGGGGGGGGGGAGGGTTGTGTAACGTCCTAGACTCGTGGATCATTGTGTGCAAACAGTGTTATATTAAATCTACAGTAAATACCGATGCAGTAAAATAAATGTATCGGTTTACTAGAAATACAAAATCATATTAATGCACAAGCTGAAAAAGTGCGTACAATTTAAAAACAATCTCATTTGAAATTTTGTTGTGAAAAGTTGTAGAAACAACGAGATGAAGCGAGACCGGAGAGACTTTTGTTCAGATAAGATTAGAGAGAACCAGGGGACTTCTTCTACTTCGTTCTTAATTTTTAGTGTTGTTAGGGATCGAGCCTTATGTGCCAGAGGGTTTCAACTCGAGACTTTTTTCGAATTTATTAGCCATGAGCTTTGCCGACTCGACCATGTTTCCATCACAATTAAGGATTACGTGTCAACTGGTTATGCGCCATTGAGGTCATTGACTCCGATTTCAGCCTGCTTTTCTTTTTGGATTTGCTTTCATAGCCTTTGTCCAACCAAGAACAAACTACAAGGCAGCAGTTATTTGATTTTGGAGTTGTCTCTCGTAGAAGAGTGGCTGTCCCCAGCTAAAGGCCTCATCTGCCCGAGGGTTCGAACACGAGACTTTTCGGTTTAACAACCATGAGCTTTACCGACTCGACCACGCCGCCCCCAACTAGGGGACTGATTATAGCCATAAATTAGATGGTCACGACATAGCATTATGTTGTTAAAACTAAGCATGATCTTTCAAACATTGCCAGCTATATAGCAGGTGTAGTGGAGTTGGACATTTTTTATCGGTGAAAGTACAGTGTTGTGAGTTCCATGAGCTGAAGCCTTGACTATCCTGACAGTCGGATTCCAATAACAACTTAATATCGAGCCTGGTATCCGAACCCAAGACTTTCTGGTTAGTATTTGTGATCTCTACCACCAAAACACACCATCTTATACTCTACAGCTGTGATGCCATATTCTTTTTAGTATTTTATTTAAATATCAAATAAGAAAACGCTCATTAGTTCTAACCGATCGCTAAAGTTTTTTATCGTAAAAATAAGTTACATGATAATATCAACATTACTTAAACTATTTTTGTATTTTCTTTAGTAAAGATTTATAACAATCACTATACAATCAAAGGCAATTTCCTTTAAATAATCTTATTGCTGCGTATTATCTAGGACGCAAACATACACATTCAAATAAAAGCAATGCCTTTATAATTCTAAATATTTTAATTCAAAAGTATATTTAACCAATTTCATTTTTAAAATAATCATGGCATGATTATAGTATGAAAGTCAAACATAAAAAAATATCAAAACAATGATGAAATTAATGCAAGTCCGCGTAATTTCAGACAATATGTAAAATTGACGAATCAATATTTACAAGTGAAGTCTTATTTAAATCTGTCCGAATTTTGAATAATATCCACCATAAAATATAAAACAAATTATTTGAAATATGAATATCTAAATTATTGAAATAAATATTAAAATAAGATCATAAAATGTTACGTAAAATATTTTTTTCAAACCACTTTCATTCAATCACCCTTTTTTTTTTTTTAAATTCACTGTGAATTATACTCAAATTTGCTAATTATGATAGCAATAAATAAAATAACACATGGAAATACATGAGTAATTATCAGTCATGACGAGCAAAATGTTTACGATGCATTACATCATAAAGTAAAGTAGTCTTTCAACAATGATCGAAAAAATTGTATCTAACGATGCAATCTAAAAAAATAAATAGATAAAAATAAAAGTAACTTTTCTTCATGATCAATGAATGGAAATGGCTTGGAGTTATTATGAGCGTGTAAACATGAACGTGAGAAAACTATTGGAATTTTCAGTAGATTATTTCATTCACTTTATATACTAGGTATTTAACTAGTGTAAATGAGACTAAAAAATACAGAAGCATATCCTGTAATTAAGACAATGACAATTCCATACACACTTATATAATGTTATATTTATATGACGTTGATATTGTCAAGCAATGAAGTTTAACTTGATGGATGTCTTGTATACTTCTAGGCTCCAGTCTTCATATCATTCCGATGAGTGGGACACCTTGTTACTAAAATTGAAGCAATACGTATTTATGTATCTCAAACGATTATTTTTTACTTAATAATAGTTTATGCAATAAATCACGCACCCACGTGCATAAAAAAAAAAAACACATGCAAAAGAAAATTTTGAGTTTAACGATGGACGAAGTCAACTAAATTTTTACTAATTTTAAGCTTTTCTAAAATCTTAAACAGATAAGATTAAAAAGTATTTTGAGTAAAAAGCGTATTCATGTATCCTTTGAAATGCACTTTCTAAATACTACATTCGCGTGCAAGATGGTGTGGTCTAGCGGTGGTACGCTCTCATCCAAAGATCTATAAGGTGTCTATTTTTTCACAGACATCCCCCTTCCCCATCAAAATCAAGTCTACTGCATCACTCCCTCCCCCAGACGAAATAGGGGAAAAAATACATATAATACATGTAATAGTCAGTGACCTTCCCAACTTACACAAAATTAAAATGCGCTCTCCACAAAGAAAGCTTCAAGAGACGGATTTAAGTGGATAGGGCATTCTGTGGCGGCCTCTATGCGTAATGGGTACCGAATGAAAATCTCATAATATAAACTTAAAGTCTCATACAACACGCAATAACTGTGTTGCCGTTGATTTTCTAAATATATAACTACTTTTAAAGATTTTTTTTTTAAATATTAAACTTTGCACCAACCTGCGCCAGCGTTGTATCTCTTTGAACTCCCCAGCGCTAGAAAAAAATAAGAAAGTAATTTTGTTAATCAGCCTATCTGATATTATTCTCAATAAATGTAATATTAATAAGTTAAATAACTATCAGTTATATTGTTTGAAATATTTAATTTATACATAAAAAACACATTGAATAATTTGTTGGTAAGTCTAATATGTGTTCATAAAGTTATCGTCACATTTTTAATTCCTTACTTTGTGAAAATAAAGCATAAAAGATTTAAAACAAAATGCTTGACATTATCCTATTTACTACAATGTCTTAAATCTCACCTCACAGTGAAGAAATGATGGGTGGTGAAGTAGGCGACCCACGTAGCCGAGACCAGGAAGAGAATAGTCCAACCCATGGCGCACCACCAGCCATTCTAAAACAGGGGCACAGTTAGTAGATTAATTAGTTTAAAAATATATTTACATATGACATTCAGCAAAAGAAAGATGCATTAATATACTTTATTATCTCTCTCTCTCTCTTTCTCTCTCTCTCTCTTTATATATATATATATATATATATATATATATATATATATATATATATATATATATATACATACATACATACATATACATATATATATATATATATATATATATATATATATATATATATATATATATATATATGTGTGTGTGTGTGTGTGTGTGTGTGTATACTAATAATATAATATAAAAGATATAGAAAGATCAATCTGACAAGCGCTTATTTAGAGAAAAAAACACATTTTTCTATTTCCATTTGCGTTAATAAATGTCAAATTTTTATGTACAGAAAATTATTAAAGATAATTACACTGAATATTTAGCCATAATAATAATGCATTAATTCTGTTTGCATTGATTAAACAATCTACTTGAAGTATGGTTTACATTTAAACTTACCAAAGCGCCTACAATAGAGTGACAGACTCGATAGATGAAGATAGTGTTGAAGACATTCCAGAGAGGTTTACAGTTGCCTATGTCGTTCTCAACCTGTGGTGGAATACAGCATAATTCTACTCAATTCATATAAACATAAATAATTTATATATATATATATATATATATATATATATATATATATATATATATATATATGTGTGTGTGTGTGTGTGTGTGTACATTTTTAGGCATGGACGTTTACAAAAGGTGTTGTCTTTCAATTTATACTGATGCAACCTTAATAAATCGTTAGGATGAAAATTGTGACCCAATTAGAAATGAGTCATTGTATGAAGCTTTTTGTCAATGAGAGATAAGTTAAAGAATGTTTAAAAAGATGTGACGTAATTTATGGTCGACCCCCCCCCCCCCCCCCCCGGCGTCTACTCCCACCCCACCACTTAATTTCTATCAGATTACACATGTAACTTACAGAATCCTGAATATGCCTTGAAAAGTTGTTAAAAATGTTCTTTAATCTTAGTTCGTAGTCAGTGAGGGACTGAAAGAGAGATGAAATAAAGCTAAAAAAATAAATTAATTGAATGACGTTAAGTAATATGCAACTACATTTCAGGTAAACAATTACATGATTAGGCGCTTTATATATTGGCTATAAATATGTGAAGATTGCTAGTAATATAAATGAGAAAAGAAAAACAATTACGTCTTTTAATGCATCCTTTGCAGTAGAGTTTACGTTTTTCTGCATGTAGTGTATTTGCTCTATTAGAGCTGTCGTTCTTGTGTTGAGCTATGTAATAAAAAAAATCCAAATTAGCCGGTGACGTAATTTTTCTCATCTAATATTCCTTTTCGAATTTTAGAAACGAGTCAGGTTTACAAACTTACAAAAGAGAAAAACAAAAACCACATTTGGTTAGTATCATTTACATTCGTTATGTTCTTATCCTTATACACCTCTGTATGTATTAGTCTGTATCTCTCTAGTTGGTCCATCATTTCCATACACTGTGCTCTCTCCAATCTTGCCTGATCTATCTGTAAACCCTCCTGCTCCCTGTACACTTCCCTCCTTTCTCTAGTCTTGCCTGATCTATCTGTAAACCCTCCTGCTCCCTGTACACTTCCCTCCTCTCTCTAGACTAACCTGTACCTTTAGAATTCCCTGCTCCCTGGATCACCTTAGTCTCCCTGTAGACCTCTAAACTCATTATAGACCTCCCTGCTCTTTCTAAACTTCCCTGTTTCCTCTAGACCTCTCTGCTTCCTCTAGACTTAACTACCTTCCCTAGACTCCACCACTCTCTACAGACCTCTCTGCTCCATCTAAAATTCTATAATTTAGTCTTCTCACACCTGCTTCCAACAAGATGATACAATTGGACCCTCATAAAATAACTCATCGAATAACCAAGTTCCCACTTACAGAAGAGTCAGTAGGCTGGCGGGTGTGGGTTATAATTGCAGTCACAGTGTCCTTGACTTTCAGCTAAAACACGAAAATATTTTAAGTTAATGGATTGGCTTTCTAATCACATGACTGTGTGGTTAAACTTTAATGGAAAATACACAATAAAGTATGACTTAAGCCCAAACATATAAATATGGTTTAAAATAGGCGCATTAAGGTAATGCATGTTTAATATTGCATACTGTTTATATTTAGTAATGAATTAAGCAACTACAGGTGAAACTGATAGATAGTTCAGATCAAATTGTTATTTAACTTGCCAAAGTGAATTAGGTATTTGATTATTTAATTTAACTATTGAGATTTTGGTAATCAAAGCAGAATAATCAAGGTTGGACTAGCTTTTTCTGGATATTTTTTCGAGAGATGTTTCTTTCGATACTTTTTCCAAGGTTCAATGTTCTTCGTTTATTTTTTATTCCTGAGATATTTTATCTGCGATGTGTTGTCACCTGGTGGTTTGTTCGAGATATTTTTGTCGTGATATATTGACAAGAGTTTTTTGTTTTTACCTGTGGCCAACTACCTTTCTCCCTTTACATTTTATACTTTTAGAACTTTGGGTACCAATCAGAGCTGGGTGAATTCAGTGACTTCTTATAGTCTAGATTCCATACCCACATTTGAAACCTTCGCTGTAGCTGTACTGCACTCTACAACCAGACTACACCTTTTTATTTAAAACTAATGACGTAAACGAACACAGCCTATATGCGTTCTCAAACTTATTCTGTTCCATTAATATCAAATATCCTGCTTATATGGCGTTAATATAAAGTGTATACATACTATTGGTCCTTGCATTAGGGATCCATGACTAGATAGAGCCCCCATCAGCATGTCTCGCACACGGTTTATCACAGCCTTTTGATAGATAAATGAACATGGCTATATATTTGTGTACTAAAAAATGTTTAACTTCAATACTTCAGCACTTACATTAAAGTAGTGAAAGATAAACATATATACAATGCGCATTCGTAAAAGAAAGTATGGTTGCAAAAACCAGCATATTTTAATAAATTATGTAAGTCCATTTTTTTTAATTCTATTTCAGTACTTCAATTATTATTTTATGTCAATTATATTTTAAAACATTAAAACTATTTTAAAATAATCTTCTTTTTTAATAGGAATTTTAAATGTAAAATAAAATGTGTTTCATATATTTTCTTCGTTCTTAATTTTTACTGTTGGAAGGGATTCCTTCCAGAACAATTAAGGATTACGTGTCAACTTGTAATTCACCCTATAGGCCGTTAACTCCAATTTCAGCCTGATTTGCTTTTTGGATTTACTTCAAAAGTTTGTATCCAACTTAGAACAAACTACAAGGCAGCAGTTGTTTCATTTTGGAGTTTTCTCTCCTAGATGAGTTGTTGCATATAAATGTGTAATTCTGCTATCCATAACAAGTTATAGTAACCAATTTTACGTGTGTCTCTTACCCTTTCTGCGTGGTTCGGGTGAACTGTAAGGAAGGTGTTGATCTGAAGCACTAGCACCTCGGCAGAGTGGTACGGATTGGTTCGAAACTAGTCACAGAATTAAAAAAAAAAACATTATATTTCAACCTTAACTAGTAAACTTGCAGTATTCAACTTGAAAAAAAAATCGACTACACTTATAATGAAAAAATATATATAATTTGCTGCGAGATATTTTGTCAGAGATATTTTGTCTGAGGTCATTTTTCCATGATATCATTTTTCCTGATATAAAATTTCCCTGATAATTTTTGTTTGTGAGGTCTTTTGTCCTTGAGATCATTTGTTGTTTAAATCATTTATTCATGAGATAATTTGTCCTGAGATAATTTGTCCGTGAGATATTTTCTCTTGACATCTTCTGTCATTGAGGTAATTTGTCCTGAGATCATTTGTCCTACTATCATTTGTTCTGCTATCATTTGTCCTACAATCATTTGTTTTGCTAGTATTTGTCCTGCTATCATTAGTTCTGCTATCATTTGTCTGTGGGATATAGTCTCTATCTCTCAACTCACCAATTCCTCATACTTAGAGTACTGCATCTTCTCATCAAAGGTTTTCATATTCTTGACGAATTCCAACATTTCAGCAGTTGAGATTTGAACGCCACCAAAGTCAGCGTCCAATTTTTTAACATTCTCCCCGATATTAAAAGTCTGTCGAAAAATGTTGGATTTCTTTTTAAGGGAATACCACCCAAACAAACTAAGGTAAGATACAATTTGACCAGTGGTAATTATGGACATTAAGCTATAAAACAAACACATTTATATGAATGTATGTAGCGATATTAAAAAAAATTGAACATGTTGGCCTTATTTTATATTTTAATTACGGCTTCAGCTGGAGCTAAAACAGTAGCATTGCAATACAAAGTTAATTTTTACATTTTTTGATTGAAAATTGTATATCTTGTTTTTATTTTTAGGTCAAAATTGATAACGTTTAAAAATTTCTAATTTTACCACCTCGATTCTTTCAGTTGTGAACAAAGTCAGTTATTTATTTGAATATTTTAACAATATGCACGGTTACCTTTTTGGGTTCAAATTGTTTTTTTTTAAATGCCATCACACATAGACCTAAATCTACTTTCTGTTTGAAAGCTATGATATCCTAACAAATACCAAAATTTGTGTGTTCGGTATTTAAAATTTAGAGTGTGTGGGTTTCAAAGCGTCTTGCCTGACTAAATCAGTGGATTTTAACCTTCTTGAACTTACATAACCCACCGGTTTTATAGAATTGAAACGGAGAGTGCTAGTATCCTAATAAATTAAAGACAATTAGGCCTACATGTACGATGAAAATAATATGGACTTAGCTTGATAGAGAATTTTTGGGGGGAAGCGGACTAAAATTAAAATTTCTGGGGGGGGGGGGTGGTTCAGACACTTGTTAAAGTATTTATTTTCTATATAAATTATATTTCATTCTGAGGTGGAGGGGTACACTTCTTCAGAGGCGCTCGCCCCTCCCCCCCCCCCCCCCCCACTAGTGAAGAGATGCCTGGCAGAAAATCTGGTAAAGGCCATGATTATCCCAATGAAAAGACTATTTAATAATAGCTTTCTCGTTAAAACTGAAATAATCCTAACCTGAACCATATGCGTTGGATGTGTGTCTTTGCCTCCGCCGCACCCCTGAGACTAACTTACCGACCCCCCTGAGGCTCAATCGAACCCAGGTTACGAACCACTGGACACAAAAATATTAATGTATTTTGTTGATGCTATTTCGTTTCCTTGCTGGAGATTTCCAATAAGAAATGTCGAATAAAAACGGTTACCTTCCCGTAGTCCTTGATTTCGGTTAGGTCAAAAACCTGGGCCTCCTTCATTTTAAAAGCTTTGTAGGCAGTCGAACCATTACTACAGGACCTTTGATAAAAACAGTTTTATAATTAGCTCTTTTTAATTAATATTTAATAACGATTGGAATATACTTGATATTTAAGGTACAAGTTGAATGTTTTATTTCAAAGAGGGATGTTTCTAGTTGGTTTAGTATGGCGGATGGGCATAGGGATATAGCTTCATGTGCAGTGGTCCCTGAAACAGATGAACTCTACTTCATCTGCTCCGTGTGTCTTAGCCACGAAGGGAAAAGTTGATGAACTTTTCCGGTTAAATTTGTCATAGCTATTGTAGCCTGGGGGGGGGGGGGTGATGACATTAGAGTAGATCTTAATTGATAATATCGATTATAAATAATTTACTTGATAATATCGATGACAGAATAGAACTTACCTGATAATATCTATGACATTAGAATAGAACCTACCAGATAATATATATGACATTAGAATAGAACTTACCTGATAATATCAATTACATTAGAATAGAACTTACCTGATAATATCAATTACATTTGAATAGAACTTACCTGATAATATCAATGACATTAGAATAGAACTTACCTGATAATGCCATTAGAATAGAACTTTCTTGTTAATATCTATGACATTAGAATATAACTTACTTGAAAATATCAATGACATTAGAATATAACTTACTTGATAATATCAAAGACATTAGAATATAACTTACCTGATAATATATATGACATTAGAATAGAACTTACCTGATAATATCGATGACATGATAATAGAACTTTCTTGATAATATTTATGACATTGGAATATAACTTACCTGATAATATCGACCAATTTCAGGGAAACATTTTTGTCAGGGTAGATTTGATCAGACAGCCACGTAGAGTTTGGGGTCCCAAGCAATTTATACTCTACAATCAGCTGAAAAATGTTAACGAAACGATGTAAAAAACGATTTTTACTGTACAAGGTGCCAATAGCAGTTTGTTGATCGTCTTTGTTCTTACTATTAAATAATTTTAATTTTGATTTAACTTGCGTTGTTTCACACGTTAATTAAAAAAAAAAATGCCGATGGCATTTTCAAAGATGAAATACATTACTTTCTTGAAGTATTTTGTTCATTTTTCGTAATATTATACCAGTCTTAAATTAATTTTCACTTTCTTGTCTTAGAAATTACATATCTTAAGTTATTTTTATTTACTGTGTTTTATCTCTTCTAATTCACATGCATTGTCTTTCTTAGTTTATGTTTTTATTCAAAAGAACATTACTTAGCCAATCTTTATTTCATTTTATACTACTGTTTTCTTACATTTCTATGTCGAATACTATTCTTAACCTAGGTAATGCGTGGTAGAATGGTGGAGCATAAGACTTAACTCGAAAGTCCCGATTTCGGGGTTCAAGGCCTTAGAGCGTCCTTGAGCCCCCCCCCCCCCTCCCCCCAAGTGTTTCTTCCAGACTTTTTTCTCCGGGATGGCACTTGAAATTTTCGGGGGGGGGGGGGCGGACTAAAATTTTCGGGGGGGGGGGGGGAGCGGACACTGTTAAAAGTATATATTTTCTATATATAAATATAGGAATTCCATTTCGTTCGGGGGGGGGGGGGGGCGGTAGACTTTCTTCGGGGAGGGGGGGAACAGAGCTCCCCCCCCGAAGAGATGCATGGAAGAAACTCTGCCCCCCCCCCTCCTAAATACACACACTTTGATGAGCAAAGAAAAGGCGACTGGGCATAGTGCTGACCACACTATCGCTTCATATGACGAGGTGTGTAGAAGTATACTACACTCGCTCTATGGACCGTTAAGTGTGAAAGCGAACTTTATTTACTTTACTATACTTAGATGCACTCCTTGTTGTGACAAAACAAAACTAACGTTTAGGAATATACAAATGTTCCATACACACGAAGCCAACGTTATTAATACATTTTTTAAAGTGTAATGTGGTGATTGTATAAACAATAATCTGTATAACGGTGCAGTACAAGTGGTCTATTTCAATATCTAACTTGCATAATGTATAAAAAAAACATCAACATAGTTTTAACGTCTAAATTTAACTTAAATTTTTTTTTTCATATTTAAAAATCAATTTATTAAAACTCATGCTAACTAAACCGAGAAGCCCCGAGTTCAAACCCACGTGTAGATGAGGCTGTATAGCTGGTGACAGCAACTTAGCAACTCCAAAATCAAACAACTGGTGCCTTGCAGTTTATCTTTGCTTTTTCGACGATCTTAAGACTTAAGCAGATATCTTTACGTTTTAGATGATGTCTAGACTTAAACAGATTTCTTTACCTCTTCGATGATTTCTTGACTTTAGAATATATCTTATCGACGATCTTTAGACTTAAGCAGATACAGTGGCGTAGCGAGGTCGGTTGTCACCCGGTGCGGCACTTAATGGTGTCACCCCCCAGAGGCGTAGCGACCCTTCCTGGGGACAAGCTTTCGAATTTTCGATTTGCACCCCCCCCCCCTCAAACTTTTGATTTGCACACCCCTCAAGTTTTTGATTTGCACCCCACCCCCTCAAGTTTTTCTCTATATATTTTGCTATTTTTGCCTGGGTGTCACTCCCCTAAATGGTGTTACCAGGTGCGATCCGCACCCCCGCCCCCCCCCCCCCCCCCTCTCGCTACGCCTCTGAGCAGATATCTTTATGTTTTAAATGATGTCTAGACTTAACGATGATTTCTTGACTTTAAAATATACCTTTTCGACTATCTCTAGACTTAAACAGATTTCTTTACCTTTTCAATGATCTCTAGACTTTGCAACGGTTCACAGAAAAGCTTTGTCGTAGGGGCTCCAATGGCAAACACTACAGTTGTCAGGATCAGCATGACCCAGAGGAATATCATAGCAAAAATGTAGAATCTAGATACATGAAAATTAAAAGTATTATAGCATTATATAGAGGAATAGCATAGCAAAAATGTAGAATCTAGATACAATGACAATTAAAAGTATTATAGCATTATATAGAGGAATATCATAGCAAAAATGTAGAATCTAGATACAATGACAATTATAATTATTATAGCATTATATAGAGGAATATCATAGCAAAAATGTAGAATATAGATACAATGACAATTAAAAGTATTATAGCATTATATAGAGGAATAGCATAGCGACATTGACGAATCTAGAGCAAAAGACAGTTAAAGTATTATAAAATAAACGAAGAATATCACATAGAAACCGACGAATCTAGATCAAAAGACAGTTAAATATTATATGATGTCATAAAGAAATATAGCGAAATTGACGAATCTAGATCAAATGACAGTTAAAGCGTTATAAAATAACCGAGGAATATCACAGAGAAATTGACGGATCTAGATATAATGACAGTTAAATGTATTATATGATGACATAAACAAATATCATAGCGAAAGTGACGAAACTAGATCAAATGACACTAAATGTAGAGTAACCCAGAAGTATATTCTAGAGAAAGTAAAGAATCTAGCGAAAAGTCAGTTTATGTCGTATAAAATGACCAAGAGGAAAATAATGAGGAAAAAAATTGGACGTTCATATTAAAGTGTATGAGCTAGCTGTGAAATTTATATACCCAAGCCCCCCCCCCCCCCTCCCCATCTTTAACATACTTACATTTGCATGCATATACTACAGTAGTACGGACGTGTTTTCTTCACAATGGGTAAGACGAAGTAGAGGAATCCCATGAAGCCAAACACAAGCCAGATGGCCAGCGGTAGAACTATCAGTAGAGCCACGAGTGATATGACCAAACCTATGACCCATCTGGAAATATTACAAACATTAAACACTGCAAACCATTCATCTTATAAGTTATTCTCCTTGTTTTGAGCGGACCTTTACAACCACTACACACGTTTTAAACATGCAATCTAGTCTTAGTTATTAGAAGCACCCGAGTTTAAAACTAGTTGTTGAATTAGATAGGTTTTTTCCTCTTTTTTTCGGCGTTAACATAGTATGTATTACAGACATTTAATTTAATGTCTGTATAGTGAAATTTATCATAAATAAAAGATTTGCAGGTGCCACAAAAAGCAGAAACTATTGTGGAATTCGTTCCTACTTATGTTTAAAAGAAGGGGGGCGGAGTGGTCTAGCAGTTAATGTCAGTAGGCCGTCTCTGAGTCCACCCAGCTCTAATGGGTACCTAACTCACGTTAGGGAAAGTAAAGGCGGCTGGGCATAGTACTGACCACATTAGCTCCTCATATGCCGAGATCACAGAAACAAGTGAACTCACTTCACTTGCCCTATAGACCATCAGGTATGAAAGGGAAATTTACTTACTTTACTTATGTTAAAAAACGTATTTTTATTGAAATTAACATAATCTAGAACAATATAATTATAAACGAAATTTAAAATGTGTACCAGACCAAAAATATTTTTAACACCAAGTCTAATGACTATTTAAATACCTTGTTAACTGGGAGTTAATTTTGTGTGGTTGTATTTTATCTCTTTTCGTTTTACAAATAAAGTACATCAACATTTTAAATTAAACAATTTCGCTTAAATTTATAATTTTAAAATTGACTTTTAACAACAAACCTTTGTTCGTCGTATTCCATGAATTCCTTGGCATAATTTTTCATTCTTGATTTGAGCGACTGAATATCAGTTTGAGACTGAAACTTGAGGCAAAAGCATTTTGTGATTTTAAAAAAAATTGTAGAAAACAAATTGAAATTAATTAGTATTTAATAAGAGCATCACTTAAATTGTTATTGTCATATTTAACGTGGGTATAAAAGAAACTGTCATGTTTAAAAATAAAAAGTTAAGACAAGTACTTGACCTAGTCATCACACACAATACTTACCTTTTTAGCAAGTTCGTCAAAGCGTTTGTAGATTGATGTAACGACACCTGTGTAGTTAGCGACCTTGTTTGATAGATCTGTGGGTAAATATAAAACTCGAGTAAACGATTATAATATGGGACGGAGTGTTAGACCGTCCCTGAGTCTACCCAACTCTGATGGGTACCTAACTCACGTTAGGGAAAGGAAAGGCGGCTGGGCACATAGTTGACCACACTATCTCTTCATATGCCGAGGTCACAGAAACAAGTGAACTCTACTTCACTTGCCCCATAAACAGTCAGGGAAACTAATAATAATAAAACGATTATAATAAGTCTTCTGTGTTCTTATTTTACATAGTAGAGACATTACTCTGATGTAACGACACCCTTGTATTTTGCGATCTTGTTTGATAGATATTGGGTAAACATAAAACTAAAGTAAACGATTATAATAATTCTTCTAACTGCGTTCTTTTATTACACTGTAGAGAGATTACTCTGATAGATCTGTGAACAAACATAAAACTAGAGTATACTAATCCTTCTAAATGTGTTCTTATCTTAGATATCTTGTTTGAAGGATTTGTTGGTAAATATAAAACTCGAGTAAAACGATTATAATAAGTCTACTGTGTTCTTATTTTACATGGTAGAGATATTACTCTAATTGATGTAGCGACACCTTTGTAGTTTGCGATCTTGTTTGATAGATATTGGGTAAACATAAAACTAGAGTAAGATACAAACCTTCATGAATAGATGCCTTAGACAGATATTGAAACTGAGATGGCAGGACAAAGTGCCGAACATAGAACTATGGAGGAAAGCTAGGCAGGAGCCATTGGGTGTGCAAAAAAGAAGGAGGAAGTGGCGCTGGGTGGGTCACACACTGCGAAAGGCTCACCCAAATGTTACACGCCAAGCGCTTGAGTGGAGCCCCCAGGGAAAGCGGAAGAGAGGGCGCCCAAGACAGACCTGGAGGCGGAGTCTTCGTGAAAAACTGAAGTCAACAGGGATGTCTTGGGAGATGACAAAATTAATAGCCGGGGATAGGAAGAAATGGAAGGAAATGGTGTAGGCCCTATGTTCCATAAGGAGCAAAGAGGACTAAGTCAAGTCAAATTAAGTCATAAAACTAAGTAAACGATAATAATAATTATTCTGTGTTCTTGTGTTACATGGTTTAGAGATTAATTGATGTTACGACCCATGTGAAGTTAGCGACCTTGTTAGATAGATCTCTGGGTGAACATAAAACTCGAGTAAACGATTACAGTAATCCTTCTAAATTGTAATGTGTTCTTATGTTACATGGTAGAGAAATTACTCTGTTTAATGTAACGACACACGTAAAGTTAGCCACATTGTTAGATCTGCGCTTAAACATAAAAACACACGTTTTAGCTAGAGTAAACGAATATATTACTAATCCTTCTAGCTGTATTGTTATGTTACATGGTATAGAGATTACGCCAATATTTAGACAAAGATTTTGTTAAATACAGGGGCGTAGCGAGGGGGGGGGGGGGGGGAGCGGGGAGTGCGGACCGCACCGGGTGACACCATTTAGGGGGTGACACCAAGGCAAAAAACTTGAGGGGGGGGGGGGGGGTGCAAATCGAAAATTTGAGGGGGGGGATGCAAATCGAAAATTTTAAAGTTTGTCCCCGGGAAGGGTCGCTACGCCTCTGCGGGGGGGGGGGGGGGGGATGACACCATTAAATGCCGCACCGGGTGACACCCGACCTCGCTACGCCACTGGTTATATACAATACAATGCGGTGGAGTTAAATTTCAGCAAAATAGGAATACACTATGACAGATAAATATAAAGGGGTGTGTCAGTGCCACAGTTCAACAGGTTTGTCATTTCTCAGCTGTATGTAAAAAGGGTTGATCAATTTGTCTTGCTTTGAATCAGTTTTAAATTGACTGTTTATACCAGAGGCGTAGCGACCCTTCCCGGCGCCCGGGGACAAACTTTTCGATTTGCACCCCCCCCCCCCCCGCTCTCAAACTTTCGATTTGCACCCCCCCCCCCCCCTCAAGCTTTTGATTTGCACCACCACCTCTCTTAAATGTTCAATTTGCACCCCCCCTAAACCTTTCAATTTATTTTTTCCAACCCATTTTTGGCGCCCCCTAAAGTCGGCGCCCGGGGACATATGTTCCCCCCCCCCCCCCCCGCCCCCCCCCCCCCCTACGCTACTGGTTGATACATAAACACGAACCTTGTGTTGTCGCTTGGTTTTCCGTCTGCACCCTCTTTGGGATTTCATTCAACTTCTGACTTGACTTAAAATAGAATAGCGCACAATGTTAAATAAAAAAAAACCTATAATAATTATTGTCCTTTAACTAAATGTTAAAAGCCCCTCCCCACTGAAAAACAGTATAAAAATTAGACAGTATTGAAATTTAGATAGCAATACCCTATCTAAACTAAAAAAACCCAAGAAACTACAAGTCTTATTAATTTTTAGACGAGTCTTCAAACGCTTATACTACAATTTTTTTTTAATTCGAACTATTTTAAAATGCTCAGACATGTATTTCACATTAGCGACAGCTACGTTAAATGTTAGTTACAGTTACCCCCCTTTTACATCAATGGCAATAACCAACAGCTACTGGACAATAAGGTCAGTAAAAGTTACCTACATATGACGTCACGTCAATAACATCTACCTGTCAGTTAAGTAACGGCTACCTACCTATAAGTTCAGTAACGGCTACCTGCCTATAAGTTCAGAAACGGCTACCTGCCTATAAGTTCAGTAACGGCTACCTGCCTATAAGTTCAGTAACGGCTACCTGCCTATAAGTTCAGTAACGGCTACCTGCCTATAAGTTCAGTAACGGCTACCTGCCTATAAGTTCAGTAACGGCTACCTGCCTATAAGTTAAGTAACGGCTACCTGCCTATAATTTAAGTAACGGCTACCTGCCTATATGTTAAGTAACGGCTAACTGCCTATAAGTTCAGTAACGGCTACCTGTCTATAAGTAAAGTAACGGCTACCTGCCTATAAGTTCAGTAACGGCTACCTGTCTATAAGTTCAGTAACGGATACCTGCCTATAAGTTTAGTAACAGCATCTTGACTATGAGTTCGGTAACGGCTACCTTCGAATGAGTTTAGTTACGTCTACATTTGTGTGAGTTTCGTAACGGCTATCTGCCTATATGTTCGGTAACGATTTTCTGACAATAAGCTCAGTACCATCTACCTACCTCTAAAGTCATTGCGTAGACACCGCGAGATATCACCCGATTCAGGTATCTGTTCTTTGCAGATTCGTCTGGCAGCTGTTAAAATAAACAAGTAAAAAATCCTGAGGGTTTTTAGTCACTAACGTTGATAAATATTCTTCGACTTGTACTAAAATGTGATTTATTTCATAAATTTGAGTTTTATTTTCAAGTGATTTAAACGACATGCAGCTTCCAAGATAGTCAAAGTATACAAAACAATGCACACCATGTTTTTTTTTTTTTGGTTTAATAATGTTCCTCTATTGCTGCTTCCCCACTCGAACAAGGGTAGGCAGCACCGTAGTATTAGGAACTTATTATTATTTTTATTTTTATTTATTTATTTATTTTTTTGTATTAGGAACTTTTTTTTTTTTTAAAAAAAAAAGATATTAGGAACTTATAAACATAAAAGTAACAACAATCATGATGCTGTATTAACTGTGATTTTCTATAGTTTAGTACGTAGATTTTTGAAAATTATAATTCTATAGGTAATAACGTTTAAAAGCTATTAATACAATATATTTTTTAAGGTAGGTCTTTATTTAATTAATAAGTTACTTTATATGACTAAATTTCTTCAAAACGTAATTGCTTTCACTTAGGTGAAAAAAAAAAACGCGTTAACACAGTACATCAAACACGAAGAAATCGCAACTACTTCATCGAGTTGTCTCCCTTTTTATATTAAATACAGTTATCTTTAAATTAATTTTAATGACGAATACTTAGATGTAAAACTGTATATACATGTATTGTCATGGGAGACGAATTTAACTGTAAAATAGATCGTTGTATTATTGTGTCTTTATTCGAGTTACAAAATTGGTCACTCAAAAGGAACAATAGAGAGATGTCGTGAACCAAGTTATAACGTTCAATCAACATTCGTCTCGCAACACTAATTTCTTTCTTCTTCGGTCTTAATTTTAGTGTTGACATGGATTCCCCCCAAAACAATTAAGTATTACCAGTTAACTATTTATTCGCCATATAGGCCGTTGACTCCGGTTTCAACCTGCTTTTCTTTTTGGGATTTGCTCCCATAGCCTTTGTCCAAACAAGAACAAACTACAAAGAAATAATTTTAATTTAGAGTTTTTATTTAGAGTTGTCTCTCCTAGAAGAGTGGCTGTCCCTAGCTATCGATCCTCATCCAGTGTTTCTTCGTTTCTTCCAGACATTATTCTTGGGGAGCGTGACTTGATATTTTCGGGAGGGGGGGGGGGGGGTTGGGGGGGGGGGTGGACAATATTTTCCGGGGAGGGGGTGGACACTAGTAAAAGTATGTTTTCTATGTAAATTCCATTTCGTTCGAGGGGGGGGGGGGTGGTGGTTGAAGAGATCACTGAAAGCACTGTCCTCATCTGCCCGAGGATTCGAGCTCTAGACTCGTCGATTTATCAACCATGAGCTTTACCGACTCAACCACGCCGATCAATCCCCTCTTTACAAACATAAACGTCAGACAAACAGCATGAGTGGACACGTACCAGTACAGCAGGATTGAACCGGTCCGCGTTAAGGGTGTAGTTGGGGCAAGCCTCACGAAATCGTGGGTCCTGGATTCTATTGATCTCAGCCTGGATAGGCCTGAGGTCTGCCAGAAAAATGGTGGCTTCTCTTATAATTGTCTCTCTACTGGCTACCAAGTCTTCCATCGCTACATTAAGTAGGTAGGCAGCTGCACGATTTATATATATATATATATATATATATATATATATATATATATATATATATATATATATATATATATATATATATATATATATATATATATATATATATTTATTTGTTTATTTATTTATTTATTTATTTATATATATATATATATATATATATATATATATATATATATATATATATATATATATATATATATATATACATATATATATATATATATATATATATATATACATATATATATATATATATATATATATATATATATATATATATATATTGTATATTTGTATTATATATCAATTGGTAAAGTGTGTGTGTCGTCTTCTTCTTCTTCGTTTAGTGTTGAAAGGATTTCCTCCAACACAATTGAGTATAAGTGTCAACTATTGACTCCGATATCAGCCAGAATTTGTTTTCTTGGATTTGCTTCCATAGCTTTTGTCCAAACAAGAACAAACTATTATGCAGCAGTTGTTTGATGTTGTAGTTGTCTCTCCTAGAACTCGGGACTAATCGCGTAAGCAACATCTAGTCTACCGACCCGACCACTCCGACCTCCTATGTGTATATACATAATTATTTATTTATTTTAATGTATCTGTTTATTTATTACTTATGACTCGTTTTTAAATGTGTACCTCAAGAAATTAAAAAAAAAATGAGAGGAAAAAAAACAGAACAATCGTCAACCTGGTAATGAAAATAGTCATAATCATACGTACAATTTTCCAAGGCTATGATGTCGTCGTATAATTTCTGCAATCGCAGCCTGTCCGTGACCTTTTGCTTGACGTCTTCGCCAAGAATACCACCGATATCTACAAAGATGGCAAGTATAGAATCATTGCTGACAATCACGTTGAGGCTTACTCTTATAAGTGCATTTATCCAGTGGCGTAGCGAGGTCGGGTGTCACCCGGTGCGGCACTTAATGGTGGCACCCCCCCCAGAGGCGTAGCGACCCTTCCCGGGGACAAACTTTCAAATTTTCGGTTTCCACACCCCCTCAAACTTTTGATTGCACCCCCCCCCCCCCTCAAACTTTCGATTTGCACCCCCTCCCCTCAAGTTTTCGATTAGCAAACCCCCCCCCCTCAAGTTTTTCTCTATATATTTTGCTATTTTTTGCCTTGGTGTGACCCCCCCCCCCCCCTAAATGGTGTCACCCGGTGCTGTTCGCATCCCCCGCCCCCCCCCCCCCCCCCCTCGCTACGCCTCTGCATTTATCTGGTCAATCAATGCTCTTTAGGCTTGACTGACAATTCATGTATATGACAAAGAAATAGTCTTCGCCATCCGCAAAACCCTATCGGTGTCCATTAAGTTAAAAAATTTACTCCCCTAAAGCATAGTTCGTGAAAGTTTCGATCAGAGGTGTGTACCTCAGTTACAACCTTATTTCTGTACCTCAGTAACGCCTGATGTCAAAATCAATGTTGCGACACAAAATTAACAGACTGCCTCAGTTAAGACATGAGGTATCTACCTCAGTTAATGCATGAGGTATTTACCTCAGTTAAGACATGAGGTATCTACCTCAGTTAATGCATGAGGTATTTACCTCAGTTAAGACATGAGGTACTACCTCAGTTAATGCATGAGGTATTTACCTCAGTTAAGACATGAGGTACTACCTCAGTTAATGCATCAGGTATTTACCTCAGTTAAGACATGAGGTACTACCTCAATTAAGACATGAGGTATGTACCTCAGATAAGATATGAGGTATTTACCTCAGTTAAGACATGAGGTATTTACCTCAGTTAAGACATGACGTGTGTACCTCAATTAAGCCATGAGGTGTACTTCAGTTTATACATGAGGTATGTACCTTAGTTAAGATATGAGCTATGTTCCTCAGTTAAAATATAACGTTCGTACCTCAGTTAAGATATAATGTACGTACCTCAGTTAAGACAAGGTAAGTTGTTTTTTTACCTGAGTTAAGATTTAAATTCAGTACTGCATTTAAGAGATAATGCATATCCCTCAAGTACTTCACTGATTATGACTTTTAAGTCAGTAATAGTGTTTTTCGCTTGATTTATTTTTCCTATAACATACCCCACATGCGTTGGAATGTAGGAATGGAAATATTAATCAGAACAAACCTAAACAAAACAAGTATATCTTATTTAATCTGTTGTCTTAAAGCTTCAAAAAAGTCAAATTTAGCTTAATCTAACACACAAGTATATCTTACTCTATGGTTAGTAGTTTCACAAAACGTCAAAATTAGCTTAATCTCACACACAAGTATATCTTACTCTATGGTTAGTAGTTTCACAAAACGTCAAAATTAGCTTAATCTCACACAAGTATATCTTACTCTATGGTCAGTAGTTTCACAAAACGTCATATTTAGCTTAATCTAACACACACGTATATCTTACTCTTAGGTCAATAGTTTCACAGAACGTCAAATTTAGCTTAATCTCACACACAAGTATATCTTACTCTATGGTCACTAGTTTCACGAATTGTCAAATTTAGCTTAATCTAACACACAAGTATATCGTACTCTATGGTTAGTAGTTTCACAAAACGTCAAATTTAGCTTAATCTCACACACATGTATATCTTACTCTATAGTCAGTAGTTTCACAAAACGTCAAATTTAGCTTAATCTAACACATAAGTATATCTTACTCTTAGGTCAGTAGTTTCACAAAACGTCAAATTTAGCTTAATCTCACACACAAGTATATCTTACTCTTAGGTCAGTAGTTTCACAAAACGTCAAATTCAACTTAATCTCACACACAAGTATATCTTACTCTATGGTTAGTAGTTTCACAGAACGTCAAATTTAGCTTAACCTTACACACAAATATATCTTACTCTGCAGGTCCCGGTTCAACACAGTCCTTGAGAATGTGAAGTCTTTGTTGACTAGCTGATCAGCTTGCTGAAAGGATAAAATAAAACTTTAAAACTTATAGGCCTCTACAGTGTATTTAGACAACCGTACCGAGGACATCTGATGTAAGCATGGGCGATGGTATCTAGAGATATCCTAAGTGAATGAATTGAACAGCTGTATACAAACACAGTGGATGGATAGCGTAGTTCTATACACACGTAACGGATGGATAGAGTAGTTCTATACAAACACAGCGGATTACTTGAATAGTTTTAGACAAACACAGCGGATTACTTGAGTAGTTCTATACAAACGTAGAGGATTACTTGAGTAGTTCTATACAAACGTAGCGGATTACTTGAGTAGTTATATACAAACACAGCGGATTACTTGAGTAGTTATATACAAACACAGCGGATTACTTGAGTAGTTCTAAACTAAAACAACGGATTACGAGAGTAATTCTATACAAACACAGCTGATTACTTGAGTAGTTCTATACAAACACAACGGATTACTAGAGTAGTTCTATATAAACGTCGCGGATGGATTAATTAGTTCTATACAAACACAACGCATTACTAGAGTAGTTCTGAGCAAACGTAGAAATAGGCTAGAGTAGTTCTATACATACACAGCGGATTACTTAAGTAGCTCTATACAAACATGGCTTTAGACTAGGGCAGAGCTAGTTTCCTTGACCCAACCCTCAAAATGTAAATTGATATTTTCGATTACTGTTTCTTACTAGCAGTGTTTTGTTTTTGTTAAATATAGATTTGAATACCCTCACATTTTAAATTTACTGAAGTAATGGAATGATGTGATAATTATTTTTTTAAATAAATCAATATATACTAACTTTTAAAAGCAATTGTATTTTAAAATAAGATTTCTTTTATTTAATAATGAGAGCGATATTATTGAAATTAACCTAGACCTTAGAGATTATGACAGACACAGAGAAGCTTACGTCAACGGACGATCTGATGTATGTTGTGACGTCATCCAGAAGCTCGAAGTCGCTGGTTCCAAGTTCGTGAATGGAATCCCTGAGATGTTCGTTGGAGGCGAACATGAGGCAGATTCCCACACTGTTCAGATAAGGGATGGAATCTTAGGTAGGATGTGTGTGGGTGGTGATGTAATATTTACAGAGTTCATGGGGATCGTGTAATATTTACAGAGTTTATGGAGATCGTAGTTTGATTAAGTGCCTAATGATTAAAAGAAAATAAACGATGATCTTAAGTACTGATATTTTGTTTTTAAAATTGATAGAATGCCATATAATTTTAACACGACTACCGAGATTACAACACCAACACAGATATTACAACACAATCACAGAGATTACAACACCATCACATAGATTTTTATTACTTAATTATTCATAATTGTATATCATAATTCAGTAAATGTATTATTTCTTTTTAATTTGTTTAAGAGAGATATTTTTAATTGCTAAAATGTACCACCATTCAATTAAAAAATAAATTATATATATATATATATATATATATATATATATATACAAACATATATATATATACATATCTATAATATAAGCGGGCTGAGCGTGTCCTTCCTTCCTTCCGTCCGTCATCGCTATAGATTTTGGGACTATAAAAGTAAACTGCGCACCACGCTGTGCTTTTCAGTGCACCGCAGTGTCTTATTATAAGTGTTAGAGTAGGGTTTGTTTATATAGCGGCATAGAGCTATTTTATAATTGCCACGGTTTTTACTCTTTCGCATAACGTCAAGAAAATATTAAATACACGCAAACTGCTAAAACGTATTAAAAAGATTAATGTCAAATATCATTTTAGTTTATATTCCTAGAAAAAATGGATACATTTCCATAAAAGTAGGTCGAAAAAGCTAATTAATTCCACTTTTTTTTGTGGTAATTGTTTCAAGGGAGGTAATTTGAAAATATATTTAACTCAACAATAATTTAAGTTAATCTTTTTTTTATTACTACCGCATTGATTAGTCTATGTTAAGGTTCATAATTAAAAGAGAAAAATGTTAAGATTATTTATATTATTTTCTAATTAGTCTATGATTTCTCAAAATCACTATTTTTTGTTTTTGTTTTTTGGTGCTAACAGATGGTGAAATTTTATAATTATAATATAGAGAATGGTGGAAAGACTCTCTCTGGGCGCGGACGCCTGGGAAAAGCGTGATTTTCGGTGGTAATTCTAATTACATTGCCAATGTGTTTTCTTAGAACCATAAAAGTAAACACCACTTGCCGTACATTCATTTGCATCGCATTGTTTTATTGTAAGTTATGGAGTAGAATCTATTTATGTGACCTAAATAAAGGCTCTCTTTGGGCGCGGACGCCTAAAAAGCGTGTTGTTTGGTGGTGATTCTAATGTTGTGGTTGTGTTGTTTTTTTTTTTGGTTGTGTTGTGGTTGTGTTGTGGTTGTATTGTGGTTGTTTTTTGGTTGTGTTGTGGCTGTGTTGTGGTTGTGTTTTTGTTGTGGTTGTGTTTTTGTTGTGGTTGTGTTGTAGTTGTGTTGTGTTGTGTTGTGTTTGTGTTGTGGTTGTGTTGTGGTTGTGTTGTGGTTGTGTTGTGGTTGTGTTGTGTTTGTGGTTGTGTTTTTTGTGTTTGTGTTGTTTTTGTTTGTTTTGTTCTGTTCCAAAGTTGGTACATTTAAAAAAGATTTACCGTGGCGGAGCACGGGATGCAGCTAGTCTATAATATAATCGGGCTGAGCGTGTCCTTCCTTCCGTCCGTCATCGCTATAGATTTTGGGACTATAAAAGTAAGCTACGCTCCAAGCTGTGCTTTTCAGTGCACCGCAGTGTCTTATTACAAGTAAAAGAGTAGGGTTTGTTTATATAGCGGCATAGAGCTATTTTATAATTTCCACTGTTTGTACAATTTTGCATAACTTAAAGAAAATATTAAATATACACACACGGCTAAAACATATTAAAAGTATCAATGTCAAATATCATTTTCGTTTATATTCCCAGAAAAAAATGGATACATTTCAATAACATAATAACAGTACGGTAGAAAAATCAAATTAATATAACTCTTTTTTTCTAATTTTGACAAAAGAGGTAATTTAAAAATACATTAAACTCACGCTAATAAAAAATGTGAATGCAAATATACGTTCGTCATAGAAGGAATTAGTGTTGCAATAATATAATTAGCAAAATGTGAATGCAAATTATGTGGATGTGTAAGAGGAAATTATTGTTAGAAAATTATAATTAGCATGGATTGATAAAAGGCAATCTTTTATTTATTTTATTCACTGAATGTAGGCCCTTCTGTTTATTACTTATAATTTTTAATCAACTATTCAGCACTATTATAGACGCGTCATCACGTTCATTAGGTGCGCAATGGTTTTAGTTATGAAACTCTATTGTAAATTTTTAAAATTTAAAGTACTGGAAAAAAAATGCGTGAATGGATAAAGTGAAATATTGTAGGTAAAACACGGATATTTTAAATACTGCCTATTATTTATACTGTTTACTAATTATTATTCTATCTTTCGGTTTGAGGACAAGCTGGGGGTTTTATAGGAGAGGCGTAGCGAGGGGAGGGCATATGTCCCCGGGTGCCGACCTTAGGGGGCGCAAAATTGGGTTGGAAAAAATTTGCGAGGGGGGGGGGGTGGAAATCGAAAGTTTTAGGGCGGGGGGGGGGGGGGACAGGGGTGCAAATCGAAAGTTTGAGGGGGGTGCAAATCACCGGAAAGGGCGCGATTTGGCGCTACGGGCTAGACTGTGAGCAATATGCCTTTATGATTGCATTTAAATTGTGTTTATGTTATGAGTGTTGTGTTTGTTTTTTCGTTTTTTTTTTTTTTTTTTTTTTTTTTTTTTTTTTGCGTTCGTTTGTGTTGTGTTTAGTTTTGTTCTGTTCCCAAGTTGGTACATTTAAAAAAGATTTACCGTGGCGGAGCACGGGATGCAGCTAGTATATATCTATAATATAAGCGGGCAAGTAGTGTGTCAGTCCTTCCTTCCTTCCTTCCGTCATCGCTATATATTTTGGGACTATAAAAGTAAACATTCGCACCATGCTGTGCTTTTCAGTGCACCGCAGTGTCTTATTATAAGTAATAGAGTAGGGTTTGTTTATATAGCGGCATAGAGCTATTTTAAAATTGCCACGGTTTTTACTCTTTCGCATAACGTCAAGAAAATATTAAATACACGCACATTGCTAAAACATATTAAAAGGCTCAATGTCAAATATCATTTTCGTTTATATTCCTAGAAAAAGTGGATACATTTTAATAACATAATAACAGCAGGGTAGAAAAATCAAATTAATTTAACTCTTTTCTAATTTTGACAAAGGAGGTAATTTAAAAATACATTAAACTCACGCTAATAAAAAATGTGAATGCAAATATACGTTCGTCATAGAAGGAATTAGTGTTGCAATAATATAATTAGCAAAATGTGAATGCAAATTATTCGGATGTGTAAGAGGAAATTATTGTTAGAAAATTATAATTAGCATGGATTGATAAAAGGCAATCTTTTATTTATTTTATTCACTGAATGTAGGCCCTACTGTTTATTACTTATAATTTTAAATCAACTATTCAGCACTATTATAGACGCGTCATCACGTTCATTAGGTGCGCAATGGTTTTAGTTATGAAACTATTGTACATTTTTTAAAATTTAAAGTACTGGAAAAAAATGCGTTATACTGTATTATTTATACTGTTTTCTAATTATTATTCTATCTTTCGGGTTTTATAGGAGAGGCGTAGCGAGGGGGGGGGGGGAGGAATATGTCCCCGGGTGCCGACCTTAGGGGGCGCCAAAGTGGGTTGGAAAAAATGTACGAGGGGGGGGTGGTGGAAATCGAAAGTTTTAGGGAGGGGGGGGGGGAGGGGTGCAAATCGAAAGTTTAAGGGGGGTGCAAATCACCGGAAAGGGCGCGATTTGGCGCTACGGGCTAGACTGTGAACAATATGCCTGTATGATTGCATTTAAATTGTGTCTATGTTATGAGTGTTGTGTTTGTTTTTTCGTTTTTTTTTTTGTTTTTTTTTTTTTTTGCGTTCGTTTGTGTTGTGTTTAGTTTTGTTCTGTTCCCAAGTTGGTACATTTAAAAAAGATTTACCGTGGCGGAGCACGGGATGTAGCTAGTATATATATATATATATATATATATATATATATATATATATATATATATATATATATATATATATATATATATATATGTAACACTCACTCAGTGGGGATGCTTTTACCCACTGAGGTGTTGTGGTTAAGACGGGTTGACCCTGAGATTAAGTACACACTGACACCGACAGTTGTTGTCAAGTACTTTATTTACAGCATCGAGCAATGACGGCGATGCATAACACAGTAGTACGACGAGAAAAAATGCTGAAGCAACAAGAAACCAAGAAAACAAACTGTAACCAAAAAGAACACTGTAGCCCTTCATTAGGTCTACATCTTGGTCACCGTGTCCACAGACAGCAGCCTTGCGTGTCTGACACGGCTAGGCGTGAAACTACCCACAGTCCCATGTCACTTGACATGGGAGACAGGTATCATCGCTCACAAGAGCATGAAAAAATGAACTACGTCAACAGGGCCACGGCTCCACATACGTTTATATACGTTTATATCCCCACACATTATCCACCTACCGTTACACACTTAACACATACCAATTGCGCTTTCTTTTCTACCTATTACAACTATCGGAACATTGAATTTCAATTAAGTTTTCAATACAGTAGTATGCTATTTAAAAACACACTTAGTATGTGTCATGTGATTATATATATATATATATATATATATATATATATATATATATATATATATATATATATATATATATATAAATATTAATATATATATATACATATATATATATATATATATATATATATATATATATATATATATATATATATATATATATATATATATATATATATATATAACGAATGGTTATAAACGGTTCCCTTTAGCCTCAAAATATACTTGCTAACGAAAGAAAATGAAACCCCATTACCAATAATTTGTACTTACAGGGCAAAGATGATCAAGACGGCAAGCACAATCAGCGTGACGTACAGGCAGCACTTTTTCCTGTAGACGCCCTCTCGTGGTGACTTTGGCTCCGGCTTCTTACAGCAACAGCAGCAGTAGATGTAGATACAGCAGCCGAGGCAGACGATGGGGAAGATGATCACTAGCACCACGCCAAACAACACGGTGATGAAGTAGCCGATGTACGTGTCTAGCAGCTGATCAGGGGATGAAATAAAACAACATGTTGTAGTTAAATTACTTGTTAGTTAACTGTTGACTAGTTAAGGTTTAAATTAAACTTTTCTTTAATCTATTCACATAACAAATGTGAGGTAATGATGGTATGTTTGTGTTGGGTTCCTACATTAGCGAAGAAGATATTAAAAGTAAGATTCCCTTTTCTAACCTATTTACCTATAGTGCAGATGTAGTATAGTTCATAATATGTCTCTAGACCAGAGTTTCTTCCAGACATATCTTGGGGGGGGGGGGGGGAGGGCTCAGCCCGATTAAAGTCTACCGCACTTCCCCCGAACGAAATATAGAAAATATATATTTTTAACAGTGTCCGCCCCCCCCCCCCCCCCCATCGGAAAATTTAGTCATCCCCCACCTCACACCTCTTGAAAATATCAAGTGCCCTCCTCCGGAGAAAAAAGTCTGAAAGAAACACTGTTCTTGACCACAGCATGTGAGGGGATAATGTGGTCAGCACTATGCCCAGCCGACTTTACTTTCCCTTACAGACTCGAGTCCTGACAGATATCCGAGAGCTCGGAGTTAAGGGTCAAGCTCTCTACTGCTGGACATCAAGGTCTCATATAGAAGATATCAGCATCACTGGATTGTGAACTTGTTTTTATTTCGATGTTATTTAAGAGCGTGGTAAAAGAACATATATATAGACTGGTATGAAATGATCCGACCACTACTCTAGCGTGTATAAAGGGCAGCTAGATGTGAGTTGTTATACCAAGGATATAGCTAACAGCATGATAAATAATACTCGTATGTATTTATTGTATGCTGTATGAATCTACTGGTGTGACGTATGATAAACGTATGTAGAGGTTTGCTGTATGGAGCTGTATGCTTGTGTCTCATGAGATACAGGTGTAGATGTATGCTGTATGGTGCTGTATATGTCTCATGAGATACAGGTGTAGATGTATGCTTTATGGTGCTGTATAAGTGTCTCATGAGATACAGGTGTAGATGTGTGCTGTATGGTGCTGTAGATGTGTCTCATGAGATACAGGTGTAGATGTATGCTGTATGGTGCTGTAGATGTCTCATGAGATACAGGTGTAGATGTATGCTGTATTGTGATGTAGATGTCTCATGGGATACAGGTGTAGATGTATGCTGTATTGTGATGTAGATGTCTCAAGAGATACAGGTGTAGATGTATGCTGTATTGTGATGTAGATGTCTCATGAGATACAGGTGTAGATGTATGCTGTATTGTGATGTAGATGTCTCATGAGATACAGGTGTAGATGTATGCTGTATTGTGATGTAGATGTCTCATGAGATACAGGTGTAGATGTATGCTGTATTGTGATGTAGATGTCTCATGAGATACAGGTGTAGATGTATGCTGTATTGTGATGTAGATGTCTCATGAGATACAGGTGTAGATGTATGCTGTATTGTGATGTAGATGTCTCATGAGATACAGGTGTAGATGTATGCTGTATTGGGCTGTATATGTCTCATGAGATACAGGTGTAGATGTATGCTGTATGGTGCTGTAGGTGTGTCTCATGAGATACAGGTGTAGATGTATGCTGTATAGTGCTGTGTGTGTGATGATATACAGGTGTATGTGTATGATGTATGGTGCTGTAGGTGTGTCTCATGAGATACAGGTGTAGATGTATGCTGTATAGTGCTGTGTGTGTGATGATATACAGGTGTAGGTGTATGATGTATGGTGCTGTAGGTGTGTCTCATGAGATACAGGTGTAGAAGTATGCTGTATGGTGCTGTAGATGTCTCATGGGATGCAGGTGTAGATGTATGCTTTATGGTGCTGTATAAGTGTCTCATGAGATACAGGTGTAGATGTGTGCTGTATGGTGCTGTAGATGTCTCATGGGATACAGGTGTAGATGTATGCTTTATGGTGCTGTAGATGTGTAGATGTATGCTGTATACAAAACAAGCATGGAGGTCAATACGTTGTTTAGACGTTTCAAACGTGACACATCTTACCTTTTTCCAATCCTCTTCATATTCGACAGTTCCGTTTAGTGTTTTATTTAACAATTCTAGTGATAAAATAAATCTACAGTACAGCGTATAAGCATATTATGAAGCACAACATGCATTTGTATATGTATAATATATATATATATATATATATATATATATATATATATATATATATATATATATATATATATATATTTAGGATTATGTATTTACTTGTTTGTGGTTATAAGCGCCATGTTACTTTCTTGACATATAACCAGTTGTTAATATTTTCTGGCTCTTTATTAATTAACATTTGGAAATCAAAGCACCACGCTATAATGTTTCAATTTTATTTTCCTTTAGTCGTCTTTCGCCTTGTTTACACGTGTGGTCTACACATGGTGTATAATTTTACTTACATGTTTGGTATATATACTTTGCATATGGTGAACTATTTTATTTTGAATGTATTTGTTACGTTCTATTATACATCCATACCAAATGGAAAGTCTACTAAAAGTAAACTGTTTTAAGCTGAATGTATTATTTACTTTCTTCTTCTCATGCTACCATATGGAAACTCTAAGAAAACTTTTATTTTGAAAGTTTAGTTTCCATTCTGCTACGCATACATACTATATGGAAACCCTAATCTAAGTACATTTTTTAAAAAGTATTGTTTACAATATGTTATATATACCATATGGAAACTCGAAGTAAACTCTTTAATTTTGAAATTATTTTTTTACTGTATGCTAAACATACTTACCATAAGGAAACTTTAAGAAAACTTTTATTTTGAAAGTTTAGTTTTTATTCTGCTACGCATACATACTATATAGAAACTCTAATCTAAGTACATTTTTTTTAAATTTTGAAAGTATTGTTTACAATATAATTTTTAAACCATAAGGAAACTCTAAGTAAACTCTTTAGTTGGTCGAGTCGGTAAAGCTCATGGTTGCTAAACCGAAAAGTCTCGAGTTCGAACCCTCTTCTAGCAGAGACAACTCCAAAATCAAACAACTGCTGCCTTGTAGTTTGTCCTTGGTTGGACAAAGGCTATGGAAGCAAATCCAAAAAGAAAAGCAGGTTGAAATAGGAGTCAATGGCCTCAATGGCGCATAACCAGTTGACACGTAATCCTTAATTGTGATGGAAGCATGGTCGAGTCGGCAAAGCTCATGTTTGATGAATTCGAAAAAAAATTCTCGAGTTCAAACCCTCTGGCAGATAAGGCTCGATCCCTCCCAACACTAAAGATTAAGAACGAAGAAGAAGAAGAAAGTTGTTTTTACATACCATATGGAAACTCTCCTTCCATGGAGGCCTTGGCGATACCGTATGCAAGTTTGTAGTACGGTCCAATGGCGCCAACGTCCGATTCTCCATGGGCCTTGTAGGTTGATGTATCAGATATCTTCCTAAAGTGGACGTCACTTTTGTTGTCCGCGCGGTTCCCTGACTCGTCCTTCACCTCTTGCAGCTGCGGCGGGTTCTGAAGGTCGTGGGTCTGGGGTGTGCTCGCATGGATGAACCAGGCCAAGATGAGCAATGCGCGTAGGTGAGCCATTGGTGGGGGTGAGCGGGATGGTACGATAAGCGTGAGTAAAAAAGAATGATCTAGATGCACTAATCGGAATCACGCGCGGGTATGCACGTGAAAGCAAATAGTGGCATTCTCGCAGCACGTTCGAACCTGTTGGAAGGGGTGTAGAAAACAGACTGGTCATAAATAAACGATCACGATTTTAAACTATTATTATTATCATGATAATAAACTATGTAAGCATTGGGGTATTTGAATAACACCAAGGGTTTGTTGCATGAATTTGGTTCCAAAATGCGTGTATGTGGGGGAGGGGTTATGTATTTAAATTCTAGTTTAGTTCAATATTTTTTAAAATTTCATCCTAACGGGACGTGGTGGAGATTTGCTGAAAAAAAAATACACTTATGACACTCTTTTTTAATAAAAATACCTCTTTAATGATTGATTTGATCAAGCCCTCCTCCCAACCCCCCCCCCCCCCCATCCTTAATTCCAGTTTAATGTATGTTACGCACTGTTGTTGAAAAATTAGGCATGATGTCTGGTAACATAGACGCGATAGTTCAACAATAGCTTGTTGTAATCTATTTTACTGAATTTTTTTTATTCCGTTAAACCCATTTATTTTGTATTTAAGCATAAAAGATAAAGCATAAAGCTAGATACGACTAAAAATCTCTCAACTTTCATTTAGTACTGACCCTAATCTTGACCCTGACTTAACCAAAAGGTTATTGGTATTAATAAACAAGATCAAATTACGAAAAGACTTTATTTCATTTCGGCTAACACTCTTTAACTTCAGTAGGATCTAGAAGAGTAACTGTATAGTGTAGTCGGGAAACCAAAGGAGGGTCAGATTTATGACTTTGGTATAAGTTAATATTAGTATACACTTTTAGCGTTTTTGTAACGACTGAATAATGAGTGGCAGAAAAGATACGCCCATGTAGTAATCATCTGCATTGCTTGCTATCATAGAAGTAATCTGTATTTGTTTTGTTTTTTGTTTCATATGGTTGTTAGATCTATATCCGTCATCAAATTATACTTTTTCTGTTTTACTAGTTTTCCGTTTACTAATTCGCCCTATAAAACTAAACTAGATAGAAAATATATGTAATATAGTATAGGACACATAACAAAAGTGTGTACCTTTCAAAATCCATTCTAGTGAATTTACAACCTTCAAATGATTGATAACAATAGACAGTGTTATTGGGAAGACATGTTTACTATGTTCGATTTCCTTTGACTTGTCTGCATCCGTTTCGTCTATTGTTCATCACAAGTTAGCATTGATGAGGGTGCGAATCGGGTTTTCCCCCTAATGTGCAAGACAATGTCCACTAAAATATCGCGGTAGCATGCGTAGATATTGTAGGCGACTTTGCGCGTTTTATGTACTCTGTAATGCCGGGATATTCGTGTAATGGTATGGTAACTAATTGAAAGTATGTAGATTCTAAGTAGTGTGTGCAAATTAACAGTGTTGATTATGTAACATTCTGAACGTTGTTCATCTTGTGTCATGTCTAAACAGAAAACTTTCAACTCCTATGACAAATACATTTTGACATAACAAACCTGAAAGTTCATTTTGTTCTTTACTTATTATAAAATACGAGCCGATCCGCGGCGTTTGATACGCCGCTATTTAATTGATATATTTTCTACTTTTCAGTAATTCATAATTTGTGAATTCGACAGTACCAATACTGCCACTGAAAATATTTGCTTTAAAACACTAACCCCCCCCCCTTTCCCCCAACCCCAACCCCTACCCTACACCCCCCCCCCCCCGTGAAAGCAGCCTCCTCTTAGTTACCTCATGTAAGTTTAAAATCGTTTCAAATTAAATTATCTGCCCCTTATAGCCGTCACTAAACCCGGCTCTACGAAATGTAAACATTTAGCGTGAACCGCAGCTCACCAGACCATGTGGGGGTGGGGGGTTGTAATGGTAGTGATAGTGATGGAAAGGAAGAGAGGGGGCTGCAAGGCGCGCTTGCAGCTTGTTTTCTAACGTCTCCCAGAAGAGAATTATATATATAGATGCAGGAGTCAACTAGTTTTTAGATATTCAGCATTTTTTCCCGTTCAGTGTTTCTTCAAGACTTTTTTCTCCGGGTGGGGGGGGGGGGGCGCTTGAAATTTTCGGGGTTGGAGGGGGGGCGGACTAAAATTTCGGAAGTTGGGGGGGGGGGACGGACACTGTTAAAAGTATATATTTTCTATAAAAATTCCATTTCGTTCCGGGGGGGGGGGGGGCGGTAGACTATCTTCAGGAGGGGGGGGGGGGGAGATGCCTGGAAGATTTACAGTTCCCGTTGTTGCTTAAATCACATTAAGTGGACTTCCATCTGTTTCAATAAACTCGGCATAGTCAGCCGCCTTTGTTTCCCAAAGGAGAGTCAGTAACCCAGCAGAGCTGAATGACTTCCTACGTTATCAATTCTCGAGACTCTCGAATTAGCATTCTAGCGCTGAAATGCTCAGCCACCCGGTACCCTCTTAATTTGATGTTGTATTTAGTTCTAAAAACACATCTACTGCAGGTAGAACAAATATTGAGTGCTAAAGATAAATCAGTCGAAGCTAAAGTATACAATTTAAAACAACATTATGTGGAGCCATAGAACTGGTTGGTGACCTACTTACCAGCCCTATTCCTGGCAAGGGGATTGTCTGAGCCAACCCAGCTTTAATAGGTACCAGTATTAAATCGGGACAAAGTCGCCTTAGTCGCCTTAGTCGCTGACTAAACAATACTTTCATTCACCATAGTAAGAAAACAAGTTAATTAAAAAGTCTAGTGACATTTAAGCGCAATTTCCTTATGTTATCTAAAAATAGCTCTGTCGTAGCGTAAATCAAGAGCAGGGTTAGTAAAACCATTGGTTAGTTATTAAAACGTTTTTTATTAAATTTTTTTTCAGTATTTTACATGTTTTAATTACAATAGAGTTACATGACTAAAAACCATTGCGCGCCTAGCTACCGAACGTGATGTCGCAGCCATTGAACGCGATGGCGCAGCTATTGAACGTGATGACGCGTGTGGTGTGGTTGGATAAAAATGCCTACTATTTCGGTCCAAATTTTAATTGACACTAAAAAATTTTTGTGACCGTACGAAAGGATATTTTTGAAAACTTTCTTCGGCAATATTGTTCTAAATTATGGCAGGAATCGATTGGTACATGTTTCAAGTCGCTACGTGGTCTGGTTGCCGAGATATGGGCAAAAAACTGCATTTTTTTCGAGTTTTTTTTGCTTTTCCGGGAAATCCATGAAAGAAACCCGGAATTTGTATGGCCTATGTTCATCCTCGTAGCTTGCTTAACATAATTGCTTTTGGAACTAGTCCTTGATATTGCTTCGTTGAGGAGGAGATACGAGTTAAAGCTGCGGACACACATTCATACATTCATCCATACATCCAGAAATGACGGGTTAATAAACGCAATTCTCCAGAATGGAAATTGCGCTAAAAATAAATACTATTTGTCCGCGAAAATATAACTGTCTCAATTAAATTGTACTTTGATTTTTTTTATTCAGTGTTATTGATCAGTGACGTAACATTTATTTAATTAGACAAGTGCAGAGCCTCTAAAACAAATTTTAATTAATTGAAAAAACAAGACGTGAATGGTACAATAGAAAGACATCACGTTACTTCTGACACTTTAAAAACCAAACAGTTTTGCTATGAATTATTGATGAGAGGTTTTGTTTTGAAAGTTGAAAACTCGTCCCGGTGAATGGTAGCTACATTCATAATTAACTTCCGATCACTCAATATGTCACATGGATCAGTGGTGGCTATCGACTAACTAAAGGTCATGGTAACTTAAGGAGTGTCTTGCAGATTTTTATTGATCATGTATTTTGGAAAAATAGGTTATAAAGTCTGTTAAATACGATCAGGGACGAGTGTCCTAGCGGTAAAGAGGTGGGCTTCTAACAAGTAAGTCTCGAGTTCGAATACTGGTTCATTTCAGTAGACCGTTAGGGAAAGTAAAGGCGACTGAACATAGTACTGAACACAATATCTCTTTATATGCCGCGTTCACAGAAACACGTAAAATCTACTTCACTTGCCTATTGACCGTCACGATTTTTTTTCCTTTAGATACGACTAATCTATTTCGTTTTGGCTAGTATTGTTGCAATTCGAATCCAGGATGAAGTCAGTAGAATGTGCCAGCTCTAATCAGAGTTTCTTTCAGGCATCTGAAACCCAACACCTTTCCCCCTCCCGCGGAATATATATTTATTAAAAACATACTTTTACAGGTATCACCCCCCCCCCCACACACACACACCCCGGAAAATTACAAGCCCCCATCTTCGCCTCGGCCTTGATGGATACCTAACTCATTTAAGGGAAACTAAAGGCGTCTGGGCATACTGTTACAGTTACGTAGAAGAAAATATATGTAGAAGTATTAGTTGCCACACTTAAATCACATGCGATTTAACCGGTCGGTCGGTCGGTCTGTCGGTCTGTCCGTCAGTCGGTCGGTCGGTCGGTCGGTCGGTCGGTCGGTCGGTCGGTCGGTCGGTCGGTCGGTCGGTCGGTCGGTCGGTCGGTCGGTCGGTCGGTCTGTCTGTCGGTCGGTCGGTCGGTCGGTCGATCGGTGGGGTCGGTCGGTCGGTCGGTTGGTCGGTCGGTCGGTCGGTCTGTCTGTCTATCTGTCGGTCTGTCTGTCTGTCTGTCGGTCTGTCTGTTTGTCGGTCGGTCGGTCTGTCGGTCGGTCGGTCGGTCGGTCTGTCGTTCGGTCGGTCGGTCTGTCAGTCGGTCGGTTGTTCGGTCGGTCGGTTGTTCGGTCGGTCGGTCGGTCTGTCGGTCGGTCAATCGGTCGGTCGGTCGGTCTGTCTGTCGGTCTGTCTGTCTGTCTGTCTGTCTGTCTGTCTGTCTGTCTGTCTGTCTGTCTGTCTGTCTGTCTGTCTGTCTGTCTGTCGGTCGGTCGGTCTGTCTGTCTGTCGGTCTGTCTGTCTGTCTGTCTGTCTGTCTGTCTGTCTGTCTGTCTGTCTGTCTGTCTGTCTGTCTGTCTGTCTGTCTGTCTGTCTGTCTGTCTGTCTGTCTGTCTGTCTGTCTGTCGGTCGGTCGGTCGGTCGGTCGGTCGGTCGGTCGGTCGGACGGTCGGTTGGTCGGTAGGTCAGTCGTTTTTTTTTTTTTTTAAATTATGCCTAACTCGCATACGATGAGTTAAAATCAGTTGTTCCTAAATTACATATTCCCACCAAGCCGTCCAAAATGCACAGTAAAGTTTAATAAGAACGGTCAGTTCAGTTCAATTGTTAGCCGTCTTTAAATTGCATAAGTGAAGTTAGGTACCCATCAGAGCTGATTTGTTTCATGCCAAACTGGCAGTCAGGACAAATCCATTATTTTTAACCATTTTTACCCTTTCAAGGAAATAAAGACTTGCAATAAGAGGCTAATGCTGCTTCTTAGAGAAAATTTATTGTAAAACCAAGGTGTATTGACAAGAAACAAACTACATTCAAGTCTATCAATTTATATTATCTTCACAAACATTTTATTTAACAATAATAAAATTTTTAAGTCTTAGGCTACACTTTAGCCATAGTCCCAACTGTAAACTGTTTTTGTGAGCTGTTTTTGGATTTTCGATTGTGAATTGAAATGTTGTATAATAAATTCCATGATAGATTGATTTAGAAAAATACCTAAATTTATGCAATTGGGGTGATATATTTAAAAAAAATATAATTATCTTTGCTACATTGCCACGACTTTGTAATATATTTAAACAATCAATGATTTGTACAACATAGGGGTGAAATCAGTGGCGTAATTAAGGGGAGGGAGGGAGGGGAGGCCGCCCCGGGAGCCGACCATAAGAGGGCACTAAAAGAGGTAGAGAAATATCTTAAAAAGTACAAGATTTAATACTCTGAGGTAGCTGTTTTCTATACAAATTGTGTGGCGCCTAAGTGTAAAATTGAAAATTTTAAGGGATAGTAGCTGGTAACAAGCGCCTCAAACTTTTCCAATTGGGGAGGGCTTGCTTTTTTCACAGACAGGAGAAATTATATAAAAATGGGAGGGAGGCGCCGGAATAGATCGCTACGCATCTGGGTGAAACTAATATATGCCTTAAATATTTCCAAACGATTTGTCCTTCTCTATTAACCAAAAATCTGATCCAGTGCTGTAAATGTCGCATCTGTGTTGTAGACCAACAAGGAACTTAGACTTGTGTTCCTGGTGGAGA